ATCTCCTAGAGCTGGAAGGGACCCTGAAAGGTCATTGAGTCCAGCCCCCTGCCTTCACTAGCAGGACCAAGTACTGATTTTGCCCCAGATCCCTGATTGGCCCCCTCAAGGATTGAACTCACAACCCTGGGTTTATCAGGCCAATGCGCAAACCACTGAGCTAGCCCTCCCCCCATTACTGATGGCAGTCCTGGCAACGCCTCTCCCCGTTGGTCTCTTCAGGGTTCAAGGTGCTGCACAGCGCAGTTTCGGCTCCGGTTTTTGCCTCCTTCCCTGGCTCTCATCTAACTGAGCTAAAGCCGCTCCCCCTTTTATACCTCTGGTCCTGCTCCTGTGCTTCCAGTGTAGGGGATGGGGTTGGGTTGGCTCCGCCCACGAGGGGACGTGGTTCCTCCCTGTCAGGTTTGGAGGGAGCCCACTCTGCCTCACTACAGTCTAGATTACAGTTTTTGCTCATTTTACCTCACTAGTTGATTGCCACTTAACTTCAGTTAGCCAAGAGATTTGTAGAGGCTGGTCTGGACACTCTACCAATGTGTGTTCTACAACACAAGCCACTTCTACTTTATTGTAGGCTGGACATGGAGTTTCTAGACTAGCATTTACAAAGGGGTTAGTTGACTTGAGTGAACTAACAGTCAAATCAAGTTAAAACAGGAGGAAAATCTCTAGTTTAGACACACCCATGCCAACTTATCCACAATGGGCTGTGATTGATCACACAGTGAGGTTCAGGGGTCATGTCATCTGTCTAATTGTCCTGTGACAAATACATCAATTGCTTACACAGAAAAATAACATTAGAAAAGTATTTGATTTTTGCCTGTCTCTACTGCAAGAAACACCTTGTCCTTTTTGAAAAAATATTACTCACATTGGGTGAGCTTTTCAACAGCTCAGTGGATAGTTAGGTGTCTAACTCCTATTGTAAATCAAGGGTTTATATGTTAAAAAAGGTGACAAGCCATGGGTAAGGGTAGTAACCTATATGCATCAGAATAACTAGGCCTATGAAAGACCAATGTGAATCAATGCATACCTCAAAAAGGTGGGCATTGGGAGCAATAGAAAGACAAGCCATCAGTCCAGTACATCGTGTACTGGACTGATGACCTTGCAAGATAGAAGAAATCCCTATTTCCACAGGAGATACAGCCGCGCAAGCTTTCCTTTACATGACCTAACCCTGATCTGTGCAACAGCCATACTGGCACATGGTCTGAATGTTGTTCACACACGTAATGGGGATAGAGTGAAAAAGGTCTGTTTTTCTCTCTGGGATTGCAGTACATTTCCTTTAAAGATGAGCCCCAAATCCATACCTTTGAACTTCACAGAAGTTTGGACCCACATCCAAATTGATTGACTAAAGAGCGTCACTAGCATTCTGAGTTACGCCAGACTAGTATAGGCATACGGGGTTGTGTGCTCATGCCGGGGGGATGCACTCTGAGTGAACTGGAATTGTATGAAACATGAAGTTAAAATGAATCCTCATTAGCAAGAGATCTGTTCCAGCCGTGCTGTTACTTAACCTGAGTTTTCTGGAGAATGACCTTTGCCCCACTATAACTTCTTGTAAATCTACCATTTCAATATTTTAGCTGATTGCATATTAAGCTATTCCCTTAACTCTAGGAACACAGCAGTGATGAAGATTCTTAGGAGAGCTAGTTAGGAATGTATGGCAATGATCTCTGAGGTGGAAAACAAATGCAGGGTTCTATCCCGAGACCAGGAGGAGGCTAGGAAAGCGAAGTCAGCAGGAGAATTGAAGTGCTGGGAAAAACCAATCTCCTCCGGACTGGTTACAAGGCAATTCTGTGTACCAACAGCTAGCTAATTATTTCTCACTGCAGATCAGCAAAGGCTGACCTGATTAAAATGATAAATCAGGCAGCCCCTCAATTTTTATGCTGCAAGAGTCCAGGCCTCTGTTTACATGTGAAAAGATATGCTAGGTAATCAAAAATATTTGCTAGAAAAGAAAATCGATTGTAACCTGACAGAAGCAAACCTTGCACTCCAACTTGTTTTAAAATCTTCTCTATTTACATTTGCCATTAGAAATTGGGAGCACATTCCAAGCCATCTGTGATTTCCTTCTTTACTATTTAAAGATAAAATTCCTGCGTCATCCCATAACCAGGCCCTTGCTTTCACTTGGTGGGGAAAGCATGAAAAGTGCTGTCTGGATGTAAAACTACATAACTTTTATGGGTTCCAGCATCTAATTTCTGGCTCTGCTTCCCCTATGCTATGCAATATCTGATTAATGTCACTGGCCAGCACCGCTTAGAGTACTGATGTTGAAACATTAAAGATATTTCATCAATACCAGGGTTGGAGGGAGGTCACTTATAAGAGCATTTATCTTGGCCATCATAAAAATCTCCAAGGGTCCTAGTATTGATGCAGCAATTCCCATAATGTTGTTAAACGAATGGCCCCTTTCTTCCCTATTAGAATGTTATTGCTAAGCAGTTTGTAAGGGATACGGTCAAGTCAGTGGATTCCAGCGCCTGACAGGCACTCTTGTCCTGGGGTCCATACGTTGCTCTCTGTCAGTTTTCCTACGTGAGGAAAAACATTGGTTAACCAAGCCAATCAAGTCTTTCCCCCTTAATAGCAACAGGACTCTACAAAGATATTTCCGACAGCAGCATGTTCAAATGCCCTGGCCCAGTTAGACGGTAGAAAGAACCTGCAAACGTCTTGCTTTTTCTTAGCCTCGTGTTATGCTAATTCGACGAGGGACACAAGGGTTTGGGTTTTCTTTCTTTTCCTTTTTTATTTTTTTTCCATTTTGCTCTTAAGCTGCAACTGTCAAAGTTTAGCCTTCTGGGAAAGGGCCAGAGCCAGAGTTTTCGTCGCCATCTGAGCAGCAGCCTGCAGCCCTGTGGCAAAACATGAAAACGTCTCTCATGGGGAAGTAACGCGATTGCCTTTAACAGCTGCGGCGCAGCGCACAAAGGAGCCGTTACCTGTCACCTCCAGGTGCCAGCTGCCGGCTGACCACATATCAAGCACTAGTATTTCAACACTGTTTCTGCAGCCCCTCGCCCCGGACGGTTAGTTCTGGGAAGGACACCACAACAGCTCATGAAATGCTATTTGCGAGAGCTGCACTCTCCCAGACCCATCTCCTTTCCTCTCATATAACCACACTGGTGAAATCCTGGCTCCATTGAAGTAAAAATCAAAACCAAAACAACACATTGACTTTAACGGGCCAGGATTTCACCCACTATGGTGAAACTCTGGGCCAGGGTACATGGGCCTGCCCT